ACTGCACATTCCAAAGCTCATTGAAGCAGAAAATGTTGATGTGAATGGTAAAATCTAAACGTTTATAACATTTTTTGTTTTGTTTTCTTTGGGGCTTACAAATTGTTAACAAATTTCAACCCTTGTGTAGCCCAAATCACATAGATATCGGAAAATGAACCCAGACTAAATGAGAACCACTAAGAAAAGAGAAAAAACAAATTATAATTAGTAGTGTTCTTGTGTGTAATTGGGTGATTAAATGTGAACATACTTGAGTGTTGTTGTTGAGCCTATCTATCGCTATTGTACAAAGCCTAATCACGCAAGTAATTTCAATTTTATCCTAATTTGTCTTATAAATAGAGAGCTATCATGAGAGTTTTGTATTATTATCGAACCTTTACAAATCTCATCTGTTTTTGAGTGTGTCTTTCTTTTCTATAATTGCTCTCGGTGGAATAAAATTAAGGATTCTAATCTTATAGCAGGTAATTTCTCAGAGTTTATGGAGCTTTGCATATAAATTCTTAAATCTATTTCTATTTGTCAATTCTTGATGTTTCTCATATAAGACGTTGAACTGAATCTGAAAATAGACTTTTAACATACATGCACAAAAACTTGCTCTCATTTCAGGCACAATGATGCAAAATGAACTCATTTTGTCTGATGAGATACCTTCCTGGAGAACAAATGAACTGATCTGGAGCGTCCCAGCTGACCTAAACGCTCAAAAGCTCTTCTTCGAATTTTTTAGGACAGCTGAACGATCAGCACATCATGCTAAGTGGTTGCTCTGTAATACATTTCATGAAATTGAATCATCAGCTTGTAAATTGATTCCCAAAATCTGCCCTGTTGGTCCATTACTTAGTGGTAATAACTTGAGATCTTCAGCTAGTGGTGGTAGCTTTTGGGTGGAGGACACTTCTTGTTTAAGCTGGTTAGATAACCAACAAGTTGGATAAGTGATCTATGTTTCTTTCGGCAGCGTAGCTGTATTCTCTCAGGACCAATTAAATGAACTTGCCTCGGGTCTTGAACTTTCAAGCCGGCCCTTTCTATGGGTCGTTAGATCAAATCTTGCAAATGGATTGCATGCCGAGTACCCAAATGGCTTTCTTGAAAGAGTGGCAGAACGTGCGAAAATTGTAGAATGGGCATCTCAAGAACAAGTATTGGCTCATTCTTCTGTTGGGTGCTTTCTGAGCCATTGTGGATGGAACTCGACTGTTGAGGGCTTGAGCATGGGGATTCCTTTCTTGTGTTGGCCTTACTTTGCAGATCAATTTCATAACCAGAATTACATTTGTGCAATGTGGAAGATTGGTTTGAGTCTGAATCCAAATGAAAGTGGACTCAGATCAAGGCATGAAATTAAGACAAAAATAGAAATGTTGTTTGCTGACTATAGTATTAAAGCCAATGCTTTGAAACTGAAGGATTTGGCTCTCAAGAGTGTTAGTGAATCGGGATCTTCATTTCGGAATTTTGAAACATTCGTTGATCATTTGAAGAAATGAAGATGATCATTATGTGTTTGGTGAATTAAACAGTCTTGTTGCATTATTTTGAATTCCATTAAGGTTTCACAATGTGAAGAATAAGTGCATGTTTTCATGATGGATGGAACTATTAATGGCAAAATCCCACACCATTCTTCTAAGACTTACCATTATTGTCAGCCACAACGATAGCCAGAGAATCTGAATCCACCATTCAAGGTGGAGTTGAAATTGACTTTATGGTAGATAACTGACTAAATCTATAGCCAATAATTTCAAGAAATAAGTCATTGATAAGTGAACTAATAAATGAAAGATCTCCACTGAGAGGGATACCACACTATATTTAAAGTACCAAAATATTTGCATAGGAAATTGTATTGTTCTGAAATTAACAAGCACCATATAGCTTAAGCTGAAATAGGAAAAATACACTAAGACTCTTGCAACACCGATAAATGCTATAATCCCAAGGAGCAGAAGAAGAAGAAAGTTGGTACTTAATATGCCTTCAATTACCGAACTTAATAGGAGGATTAACTTTTTTTTCCTTTCATGGCTCAATGACAAATAGAGGCTGCAAGCAAGGAGGAACAAAAAGTTATGGACAAAACAAAGAGATAGTTGAAGAGAGATAATATGTATTCAAGGTGATGATTCACAGAAATATGCATTATATCACGACCCTCCATTATGCATTAAAGTCCAATAGATGGGGAATGTTTTCTACACAAGTGTTAACCATCTTATTAAAAGCTTAAGATGTTAGAGTGGGGCTACATATATTTATTCATATTTGTCTTCAACCCGTCCCTCACATGCAAATCCGATCAAAGGTCAAACAAGTGCATAATTTATCAGAAATAGGTTGCAACAAGATTTTACCCCGGTTATTTTCCTTGGCTAAATACCAAGTTAATTGTCTCATTTAAAAACTCAAACTATTAGAGAGTGCTCCATATACTTGTTTACATATATTCAACATGAAGAAGCATTGAAGCTTCTCAAACAATAAGTACAGTGCTCTAAAGGGGGTGATGGGAAAGGTAAAAGAGAATAAAGATACCATGTCCACGCTGACAGGTTTCGCATCATCTACAAGTATATCAACTATGGTTCCGGATTGATCAGCCTGAAAAAAATAATTAATAATAAAAAATAAATAAAATGAGAAGATACAGCAATCAAAATGTATGATTAAAATCGTATTGAAATTTAGATATCTGATTAAAAGTAAAATGAATTGTCAAACACTCATTTTAACTTAATCACCTCATTCCAGGGTTCTTTTATTTTGCAATTCAATAATCTTCATAAATTGTCCACAGTGTAAACAGGACATATGGAACAATAACAGCTCAGACAAAGGTCCAGTAGCTTACCTCAATCTCATTCATCAGTTTCATGGCTTCAATAATACATACTACCTGCCCTTTTTGGACTTTATCTCCCACCTAGAAAATACATTGTATATCAGAATTGATAGCAACAGAATATTAATGTTAAATATATGACAAAAAAGGGTTGTTTATCCATCTTGATTAATACTATTGGACATTACTTACAGACCTAAACTATTGGTTTGGCATTTTCAACAATTTTTAAATATTTAATTTAGCATGTTTTGTAATTTTGAAGTATTTTAAAATTATATTTAATTTAATTGACATAGCATTTGAAACAGGAAACCCAGTGGCTGAGTTGGGACCCAGTCCCTAAGTTGAATCTTTGCCAGTGTCAGGTTTATAAGGAATGGGAAAAGCACACGGAATTCAATTCAACAACTTTCCAAAGATATTTTCATTCATAAACACACATGAGGTATTGTATGCATTAACCTTCACGAAAGGTGGTGCCCCTGGGGCAGAAGAACGGTAAAATGTTCCAGCCATAGGACATTTTAGAGGAGGATATGATGACTTTGGTTTTGCCAGAGCATGTGATACTGGCACTGAAGCTGGAGTTGAATGGACTGGAGAAGTAGGAGCAGGGACATTTGAAGGAGGCAGTTGTGCTGAAACCAAAGCCTGCTGAGCGGAAGGTTGTGCATAAAAAACAGGAGCTGCAGCTGATGGTTGTGGCAATGCCTCCTTTTTTCTTATAAGGACTTCACAGTCCATTTGATTAAGCTCCAACTCCATAATATCTCTGGAATCTACAAGCCTGGCAACATAAAAAGTAAATTACAATTCATTTATGAAGACTAAATCAGAAAGTTATCAGATGCTATATGCAAAGCAAAGTTATCAGATGCCTTGTGCAAAGCAAAGTTATCAGATGCTTTATGCAAAGCACTTTACACACTTGACAAGATCTGCCACTTGGGTCATAAATGCTGAAATGGATGCTGCATCTGGAACTGTGTATTGGCTTTCCACTTCTTCGGCCAATTTTGCCTCAAGAGCTGGTGCAGAATTTGATACTTTCTCAACAGCAACCTTATAAAGAAAGAGAATGACATAGCTAAGGTAAAAGGTGACATCAAGTCAAACAAGTGGAATAGAGACGAGACAGATGGAGGAGAAGAATCAAAACCTAGATTGATAACAAAGTTCCCCTTACCTCACTTAGCTGTGCACACACCTTAAAAACATCAGATTGGCTCCGGCTACATTCCTGTTGAAAATGGAAGGATCTTCAACCATATTGCAATTAAATCAATAAGAATCTACTTGAGCAATTTCTTTCTTTTAGTCTTTTAATGTCAGCCCGCTGCAAAATGCCGCTGCAAAATGCTTTTGAACCACGTTTAACTTGGTTAATGATATGTTGCAGAAGTGAGGAAGCATTTCAAGATCCTTCTATCTCAGCGGTCTAGCTTCTTTTTATGTAACAACACTAAGATATTTCATGATAAATATATGCACTTGATATTTGCAGCATTCTAGTTCTGGCTTCATTTATAATCTGTATATGAAGAGAATTAATGTGCCAAAGCTCAAAATATTTGTAAGTACTGAGATGGATGTTAAATGCAAAAGAAACTACTTGAAAACATTGTCATAGAAAATTTTGTTATGCTCCAAGTGTCATCTGAAACAACATTTCTTCTTAGAAGAGTTCGTGCCTTGTAGTTCATAAGTATAAAGGTAACTATATATTCTATTTGATCGATCAGTATAGAGTAACAATCATAAAAATTAACCAACACCCCTGTCCTCTGGAGTATAGTATTTTAGGTGATTTTCTTCATTACTTAAGAACTATTTCAAAAATAAAAAATAAAAATTATTTCGCTAGGGAAATTGCATTGATTATAATATAAAGAAAGAATATACATCCGCTTATAATTCATTCATTGGTGACTAGAAAAAGAGCCATAAAAAATAAATTGGTTCCTCAGATAATCTGCTTTTTAGCACTCAAGTGAACACATACGATATGTATGTTATTCTATTGCATTGATTAATCACATATACCATCAATATAACATATAGTTCCGTGTATAATTCAATCAATGGTGGACTAAAAACAGCCGTAAAAAGAATTAAACCTGAGTGAGAAACAACGGGCCCAGATTCGATCTGGAATCAGAACGAGGGAACGATGCGATACACGGGCGATGCTCATGACGGTTCTCCGACTCCGATGAAGCACCCATCAGAGAGGAAATCTTAGTACAAGGAATGCTGAAAGAAGCCATTGATGAATGACGATTCCAATACGTTTATTATGCAAATAATTAAAAACAACAAATGAAGTGGAGAATTTAATGCGATTGATGAAATTTACGAATGATGTATGAGAAATTATTAGGCTTCTTTAGAGGAAAATGGGCGATAGAATTGAAGAGAAAGCCAGAAGGTGGCGATACAAACGAGGGAAANGAGAAATTATTAGGCTTCTTTAGAGGAAAATGGGCGATAGAATTGAAGAGAAAGCCAGAAGGTGGCGATACAAACGAGGGAAACGAAAATGAATCTCTCCTTATATGATATAAGACAGTACAACTTTAATTCGGCTGTTCCCTCCATAGTCCATTCATGCGGTGGTTTAACCAACAATTTGCCGGTTGGGACCATTTAATTAATATTCTCAACTTTGTATTTATTAATGTTGTTTGTCGTTGTAATTTCAATGTATCAAATAACTATAACAATTTAGATCACACTTGTCAATCTCGATAGAGGAGGTAGTAAAAATGAGATTAGTTATAGTAATCGTATTGAAATTTTGAGTGATTACGTCATTGGTCGTTGAAATTTTTTTCATTATTTTTACAATAAACATATTTCCTTCACTCACGTCATCACCACTTTAGTGGATCAATCACAACCTTTGACGAAACACACTAAGGTCGAAGGCCAATCCTAGGTCATCATTGTGCATCAAGCATTGCACTCCTCCACCAATTAATATCACCTTGCCTCCCAAGAAAATAGTATATCGTAACTTGAAGTGATTAAGGCAAATGCTCTATTTCATATGTGACAATTCTATTAAGGTCTCTCAGTTAGAGGAATAATCTGCACAAATTGAATTTTTTGAAAAACTTATCAAAAGTTCTATAAAAAATTCTATGCTTATAAAAGGAACCATTCCCACGTCTGCAAAGGGTCACATTCTCAAAAAAATTCATTTTTTCGTCTAGCAGCCTTTGCCTTCTAACGAGATGTTTAGTATGCAGGTGATGCCCACGTGGAGGTGACGAGATCGGGATTCTGTTGGCATATTTTTTGGAGTCAACAACAATTATACATTCTTTTAAATAAAATAATTGTCCCCGTAAACTAAAAACTTTTCCTTATTCTTCAACCACACATTTTTAAAAAATAATCACTATTACTAATATATTTTCCTCAAAAAAAAAAAAAAAAAAAAAAAAAAAATTGGGCTCAAACATAATCTAATTATACACCGATTTAATTAAATATCGTAAAAACTTCATTTCACTCGTTGGAATCCTTATAAAGTGATACTTCTTACTAACAACAAACATGTCCAAAAATCTTCTTATGGTTGAATTATCATAATTTGGCCGCATAGACGTCTTCTAGATTCACTAGCCAAATAATTGGGTTATAATTCCACATTTTTTTTTTTTAATGAATGCCTTGGCCGACGTTATTGCTAGACAGAGCCGGCCCTGCGGCCAGGCAAATAAGGCCTGTGCCTTAGGCCCAACATGATGGGGGCCATTTTTGGTCCAAAAGTTTTTTTTTTATTAATATTGAAAGAATGGAAAGGAAAATAGTTTTTTTTTCAATTAATTGTGAGATGATTGAGATATTTGTTTGTTGTTTTAATGTTAAGTTTTAAGTTGGCAATATGTTGCATAATACACATTGAATTTTTCATTTACATTGATTTTGGGGGCCTAATTTTTGGACTTCGCCTCGGACCCCGACAATCACAGGACCGACTTTGTTGCTAGATAAGGCTCTCTCATGACCCACTGTATGTTGACAATAAATTTAAGACGTATAATTAATTACCCACACACTTTTCGAATCTGCAGCATTTATATGACGTTGTTCTCATATCAATTTCTTTATGTTTTTCAATGAATTTATGTGAGTAACGTGATTTAAAAAAAAATAAAAAAATTACTCCTAATAAGAAAGTTTTGATTTTTGTACCATAGTCTAGTCTGAACATACCTATAAAATCATGATTTTTTTTTTAAATAGTAAATTTTGGACAATAAGTACTATTTCTATTTTGGACAAAGAAAAATACTTATATTCGAAAATGAATATTTGGATGAGATAGTTTGGGAAAACTATTATATCTGATTAGATTAAATTAAATTGAAGAAACTATTCTTATATGATACAAACTTTTCCATTAATCTTTGGCTTGCAACTGAAAATTCTATTTATTTATTTATTTATTTATTTATTTGGGAAAATAACAGCTATCGTCTTTGGCTTTCTGCCCATTTGCAATTTTATCTATAACTTTTATTTTTTTAATTCTATTTTTTTTTTTTTTTTTTTTTTTTTTTTTTTTTTTTTTTTTTTTTTTTTTCTTTTTTTTAATTTTTTCTTTTTTTTTTAAAAAAAATAAAGATTTTTTTTTTCTGGTATTGTTACTTCATGTTCTTGG